TCACGGAAAGATATTCATCCTTCAAGGTTTCGAATTCAGCTTTAATGCGCTGGTGCGTGAAATTTTCAACTGTGTTCCAATGTCTATAGACTAAAGTACAAAGCAGTGAAAATCATTAATAGGCAATCGTTCGATGGGCTGAACTGCACAAAATGCATGATCGCACCAGCTAGTCTGGTGCGCTATTTATTCAATTTCTACCTTAATACTAATCATTTACTGGACAACTGTTTTTTAAATTTGCTGAGCAGTTAAAATAATACTACTCAAGAAAAAAAGCCTACCGTCAATTTTAGTTTGTCTCAACAGCTGCACACCGCCATCGACCGTGAACCTCGAATCAAATACCGTGCCGGGTTTCGTCCCTCCCTCTGCAATATTGGTAACCGTGATAGCATCTTGTCGCAGCGGCTGTGTGGGATCGGAACGTTCGGATGGGAAAAAACCAGGCGATGGCGCTAGAGAAGGCAGTGGCGACGGCTCATCTGAAAATGAAAGAAAAATAGATTTTGAAAGGAAAAATTGGAAGTTGGTTCAAAGAGTGAAAACAGTAAAAATTATTAACTCAATCAGACTTATTCCAAAGTTTAAAAAATTAGTGTCGCCTTTCTCTTTTCCATTAAGCACTGCATCCGTCAAACTGACGGGGTCCTGCCGTGGCGTTAAGTTAAGACGTATATGACTTAATGGACCGAAACGTCTTGTCTCACTCTTACCTTCTTTTCTCATACTGTTCTTTCATGCTGTATATCTATCGCGCTTTCGTCATTTAGGCTTCCCGGGTCAACTTGGCTGCTACAAACGACTTATTAGCTTCAATGATTCGTGAACATAACAAAAACCCTAATAATTACCGTCGTCATCAGCTTCCCGAGTCATCGATTCCTCTAAATTCAGTGCTTTATCAAGATCACTGAGGGCATCCTCCACAGCCGCACGATGTCTTGCTCCAGTAGCAATAGTGTAACCCATCGTAGAACTTCCAGGACTTCCGGGAGATGCTGGCGATTCCAGTTCTTCAGCAGCATTTATCTCCACTACTGCTATCTGAAATACAATTCTGTGAAGCAACAGTCATCCTCTCTTAATAGCTGAAGCAACAGCCATCTTCTTGCTGCTTTACAGTTTAACATGTGCACTCATGTTGGCTGCGTTTTGGGTCTTCCCTTGCATGGAGGGGAAAAGGGCATCGGCTTGGACAGTAGCGTTGCATTACGGGGCCGCGTGAAATCTTAACTTCCAGCATGCATGGTGATGCAAAACTAAAGCAAATTCGGGTTTTCAAATGCGCGAAATTTCATAAAATTATTAAAGGCGTACCGTATTTTTCTCAGCTTTCGCGTTTGCCTCCGTAGCTTCTGAAGGTAAACTTGGTGCACGTTCTCTTTTGGCACGTAAAACATGAGTTTCGGTTCCGATAACAGCACTGATCTCTCTGGTAGGTATCAATTCAACCACTGTTGTTGTGCCCGTATTTACAGTTGTTGGTACCAGTTCGATTGGCGGAATCGGTGCCGGCTGTCGAGGCGCTTTCTTCTGCTGCTGTATAGCAGAAACATCTGGCTGTAGCTGTGGTTCTGGCGGCTGCTGTTTGCTACCTATATCATCTTGGCGAGCCTGCAAAACACAATTAATCATGGTGCTCAACATAGGGGATTCTCCAAACAGTAACAACAAACCACGAGGAATATCAATGACGCCGCCGCCACAAAAATCAGTGCGGGAATTTCATGTTAGTGATAACATTTGGGCCAATAACAAGAAAAAACAAGCAATATTGGAATCTGCTTTTGCTCTCAGTCAGTGGTGCCGAATCAAACGTTTACGAGATAAGGCAGCAACGTTCCTACTGTTTAGAATATCCATGAAGGAGCCATTTATCGCATCCGAAAACACAAATTCTCGATTCGTTCCATCGATTAGCTGAGATTATTGGAGTGAGATTCTAGACATCTCCACTGAACTTTCCAAACTTTTCATTGGGAATGGAAAGTTCAATACACAGATATTTGGAATCCCATTTCGGGATTACTAGCAACGACGACAGAGCAGAAGTGTAATTTGCCTCAATTTTTAGTTCTTCATCAAGCGTAAAATTAGCATAAATTTAAACTTTAGGTCAAAAGTCAAGAAAAGCATGAATTAATAGGATAAGTATGGTAATTCTTTGAATGAGTGGGATGGAAGCATCAAAAAAAATACAGCAGAATTTCTCTTTTTCTCCCTATTCTCCTCTTTATTTAATGGACATTTATACATGGGTGGATAACTCCGCCAATTAAATTCTTCAGGAGGTGAAACGAACGTCAAGAACAGGAGCCGACTGATCATCGGCAGATGCAAATGCCAGCTTTATAAGTAGAGAACATCACTATGAATTGTATTCAATCAAAGTACTGAAAGCATATTCGATGGTTTGTTAAATATTTTAAATGTTAGATTGCATATCGATGTGTAATAGAACCTAAACTGCA